TCAGGCAGTCAGTGTTCATTATTTGCAAATCTCTTTTAGTCACACACACTGATAAGACAGAAAACAACACAGAAAATGCTCTTCCTTTACATCTTGCCTTAGCTTAAAATGTCTTGTGTTAAAAGAGCCCAGATCAGAGTGAGTGTTGAAAGTTGAAAATGGGCCAGAGTCCTCCCTAAAATGGGGCACATGGTTTATAAAAAGCCTACCCATTTACTCAAGCATTTCATAGGGAAAAGGTTGCTTGTGCCTTTGAGATGAATATGGATTTAGGGAATTAAAAAAACACAGAATCAAACATTTGTGTGCGACATACAGCGTGTCATAGCCACTTGTAGGATCCAAATGCAAGTTGATGTATATTCAGGGACATTAAGAAGGCCATTTTTAATAAACTCAAATATATAAAGTTACTCTCTCTACTGTGCTGCAGAGGAATTTACATCTTTGTGAAGTTAACATCTTATTTTAAAGGTCCTTTGCACAAAGCTATTTCTCTGTCTTTCTGAATCTGGATCAGCTGCATCAGGTGGGACCCTTGTCTCGGCCCTTAAGTGCTGATTGGCTGAGTAAGTAGATCAGCTCATCCAGACGACTTCTAATATAGTAGTCCAGTCCCCTTCACCCCACCCCTTGTGAACTCCCCTGGCACACAGTGCAGGAGACAATTCAGCTGAATGGGACTGTATAAACGAGACAGAAAATGTTTTAGATACATTAGAGGTTCATAAATAAATGATTGCGCTGTCAATACTTGTTGGAAGTTTTAATTAGATGTTGGAGTTAGACGACTGGAACCTTCTCAATCAATATACTGTGCCTGAACTTTAAAGTGTCTGATCTTGACCTGACCCTTGTGGACAGAACTGCTCGAGAAATAGGTGTGATAGGTCTGAGCTCTTCCCTGTACATCTTCATTTTGTAGCTTAATGGCCTCAACACAGCAAAGGCAACTTGGGAGGGAGAGAAAGCAGAGAGAGGAAGAAACTAGGGCACTGTTAACTGGCCCCTTTTTACCAAACATCAGGCACAAAGCAGAGAAAGAGAAAGAAAGAGCGGTGGACAGGAGAGGACTTCAAGAGTGAAGTGAAGCTGTAGACAAGACGAGGAAACCTCTGGAGTCAACACCCGTCGTCTAGACAAACAATACAACCTTGACTCTCACCTACCCGGGTCACACACACGTGAAAACGTGTGCATGTGCACAGACTTTGCACACATTTAGAACAGCAACATGTTTGAGGAGCAGGCGACCAAGGTTAAGATCACTTCTGTGGTGATTGTGGTGGGCATGGCGACGATGCTGGCGGCGGTGGTGACCGACCACTGGGCCGTGCTCAGCCCCCGGGTGGAGAAGCTCAACGCCACCTGCGAGGCGGCCCACTTTGGCCTCTGGAGGCTCTGCAAGAAGATCATCTTCATCGTGGAGGAAGACCCTCAGGGCAAAGGCTGCGGTCCCATCAGCCTACCTGGAGGTACTAAGCTATTCGTTCTTATTTAATCTGACTGTTTGAGGATTTTTGTGCTTACTGTTAAGCTTCATGTCAGGGGGACAACAAATATTAGATAACAGAAAAATATTTCTTTCTGTCTACTAGCTGTCATACTAACTTGTATTTGAGTTAAAGATTTGAGATTTTTTTCAGTACTGTATGTGAATTTCAACTATGTAGACCTGGTGGTCACAGCATTGATACCATAAAATCATTTTTTTAAATTATGTTATATTCGGGACATCAAATGCATGTCTAATATATATGCTCAATAGAGATAAAGGAGTGAAAGAGCGGGTCAAAAGTCAAGTTTCTTTCCGAGCACTTTGAGTCAACCTTTTCTTCCACTCTGTGTTTCATTCCAAACAGACATATGTTTAATGGTTCTATGGCCAGCTTCTCACAGAAACCATTATTATCTTCCATAGAGGAAGTCTCTGAACAGACTACCAATTTAGCACAGTCGAGCAGTTAAAGTCAAGTGTGTAATGGAAGAGCATCGCTGCTGTACTTCACAGCTAACATGACAAAGACATCAATCGGTTCTGTCTGGTCTGATGGACTCTCAATGGAAAATTAGACATCAAAGCCATTTTTGACCCAGGAAGTGTTATGTCATTTTTCAGCATACTCTTTATAGACTAAAATCAAGGGATGCTATATAACTCTGGCTTGCAGTGTCACAGCAGATCTGAAGTTAATATGAGAGATGCTTTAAAGGAATGCAACTAATTAAAGCAGGATTTTCTGATGCCAGTAAAAAACCTTTGAAAAAACAATTTGAAATAACTTGCTTAATTACAAGCTATGAAAAAAAAAAAGATATGCTGCTTGGTGCAAGTCAATTTTAGAAATGATTTCCTTTCATATGTTGCATAGAGTATGTGTTTTAGTTAAAAAAGACAGAGGCATTCGGTGTTCAAATGTATGCTTCGCCAGGAAAACCTTGTAGCTTAAATGACGAGCCCTTTTTGAACAGAGCGAGCACTGGGACAAAAAGCGTCTCGTTTGCCTCCGGCTGTGTGTGCATGCCTTGCAGCCTAACAGAGAGATTTCAGTCTGACTCTATCATTGACTTAGCCTCCAGCTCTAGCTCTTCAGGATCAGTACAGGCTTTAATGAAGTGTAGCTTCACACTCCAGCTCATGAGTTAGAGTACACCTGGAACGCTCAAGAGGGATGAAAGGGATTGTGAAAGAAAACAGAATCGAGTAGTATTCATAGAAGGGGGGGGGGCTTTCCAGTGATAGGAGGTGGTACTGTACACAGAGGACGGAAAGACAAGGTAGGTAGACAAAAGTTTTGTTAGCTCCCTGACATGATGATGTGACACATTTGGGGCCTCCAGGACACCGTTTTAGCAATGAATGAGAGGCACATTTGATCTGACAGACTCTAACCTCACATAAGATGAACAACAGTATACGTTATAACCCCCACAGCCTGACAGACACAAACAGTGTCATAATGTGTCCAGAATCGGCTTCTGCTATACTCTGGGATGACACAAAAAAGACAGACAAACTCCTGTCAGAGAATGAAAATAACCAATGTTTTTACATAGACGTATTTGGTTACATTCCCATAACCACATTGATGTTTCTAAACCTGGGTTATGTGGGAGATTTGGTGTGTGACTAGGCAGCCTGTGGCTCCCACACTGGGCACAAATCATTTTGGTGGTTATACAAGATGATCCGTACTGATTTGTGGTCCAGGTGACATCAGAGATGTGTGGGGGTGTGTCCCTGAGTAAAGAGGACATTGGGTCAGATGCTGATTGGTCCATTAACAGGTTAAGAAAGTGAGTTTCATTGATGGTCCTCACCAGGCAAAGCTTATTGCGCTTCTCCATTGGCTGAGAAAAGGCATCTACAGGTTTCCTCTCAACAGGTGCTTCTATCTTCTGGGTCCTCGCTGGTCAATCTGGTTGATAGCAGAGAGAATTACAGCCACTTTCTAGCTTAAGCCGGTCTGTTTCCTTTTTGATAAGAGTGATATCAGGAATGGCAGCATGGCTGAGCATTTAAGACTTGGCTGGATTACACAATTTGAGTGCAATTTCACATGAATAATAATGTTTCACATGGGATAAATTCACGGTTTTTCTTTAAGGGTGAAGTGTTTGCAGTTAACAAGCCAGCCAGCCTTAAAGCAACACCATGAATACATCATGACGAGATCTACAACATGGACTGGTTTCTACCTTTTTCGGTTCTTTCAAAATCTCAGAAATCAACATAAAATACAAAGTAAAGAGAACAGAAATAGTTTTTGATGGTCGTATGTTACTGGCCACTGAGATAGAGTCTAATGGCCAGGTCCCTCTTGGAAAAGAGATTTTAATCTCAATGAGTCTTTTACCTGGTTAAATAAAGGATATATATACAGTATATAGTATAATGGAGTGGCTGACAACACCATACCAGTGTTACTTATCTGCTTCTCAATTTAATTTGCGTTCATGGTCAAGTGTTTAGTACATCACCACATTGTAAAAAAAAAACTAAATGAATCAAGAATGCACCATAATACATTACGACCTTGATGAAACGTATACCCAAGCAGGCACCAGTGATTGAGCCCAACAACACACATTTGCATTTTCCCAAAAAGAGGGGGAGTCAGTCTTCAAGAGACACAAACACAAACACTTTTCATAGGCACAGTTGAACTGCTTCTGTGAAAAGGTTGCTTGACAACGGCAGCAATCAGTGAACCAAAATGACTTTTGAGATGAGCTTCCCACAAATGACGCATGACGGCTTAAGTGCTGTAAAAGTCAAACAAACCCTTTATTTTTACATCACGCATCTCGAAAGGGAAATAAAGAGCGTTAATGGTGCTTTTTCAAAACATATGTGTGCAAGGAAAAGGAAAGGAGTTAAACGTTAGAGATGTTTAAGAGCTTAAAAGTAGGAAAGTGTTTCTTTCCTACATTAGAAAGCATCCAGAACGCTCCAAAAAAAATTTCAGTTTTTTCAGTGACACAACACTGGTGCCCCAATTCATTCCCTTGAATCACCAATGCCACCTTGAACCACCACTTTTAGTTTCCAAACAGTAATCCAGTCATTTTCCTCTCTCGCTTTGGATTCAGAGCCAAAAATGTGGAGGTGTTGCGTTGCTTTGGCATTCAGAAAATGAGAGTAAGGTTCAAAATCTGAATGAATCACTCCACAGTATGCAAATGTAAAAGGGAGAAACCCTTCCAGTATGAGATACTCAGACGTAGTTTTGGTTGAAAATGATAAATGTAATGTTTTGAATGTCATAATAAGAGTCAGGCCGCATTCACTCACGCACGCACGCACGCACGCACG